GCTGGGCACTCTGACCTCACGCTGAGCACTCTGATCTCACACTGAGGACTCTGACCTCACATTGCACACTCTGATCTCACACCGAGCACCTTGACTTCAGACAGAGTACTCTGACCTCATACTGAGCACGCTGATCTCACGTTGAGCACCTTGACTTCAGAGAGAGCACTCTGACCTCACGTTGATTACTCTGACCAGGCCCTGAGCACACTAACCTCACAATGGGCACTCTGACCTCAGGCGAATACGAATTCAGAAGACAGTGTTAACCCTCCGCTGGTCTGCCAGTATTCACACGTCAGTTAGCAGCGTGTTGCATCGTGTCATTCTTCATGTCTGCTCCTCATACACGTCTTCCTCTCACTCCTCGACACCATCACTCCTTAAAAACACAAGCATGGGCCATCGCCGTCTGCAGCGCCAGCAGGCAGTGAGTTCCTCGTTAGCATCATGTAGATGACTGCATTTCGGGGGTTTTTAAAAAGCCAGCAGTTAAAGAAAAATAAATAAACAAAAGCGCTGTCTGCCTTGCTCTTGGCACCCCGTCATGCCTTTGTATAGGGTAACGAGAGAAGTAATTAAGACATGCCTTTACTGCGTGTAATCTGTGCATTTATTTTTAGAACGATTCTGCTCTGTTACAGTTTACACCCTTTCCGATTAATGGAGCTTTCATGCTTTCGTTTTTACCGTGCCTGCAAAAGTATATCCGATATATTTTATTAAGCGCAACGTAACGGATGTTATTCTTTGTTGGCTAAACACCGTTGAGTTCTGCCCGGAAGCCACTGTGATTGATGAGGAATTTGTCTTGCAAACTGACTTGTCTTGGATGTACAGTGTGAAAAGCCAGAAATCTCCAAGGGAGAGTTCAAGTGCACAACCGGACCAAAGGGGGGCTCAGTGTGAACAGTCTGAGGCGCTCGGTGTGCCCCCCAGTGTCAGATTTCAGTACGTACAGGTCTGTACCTGTACCTGAATAGAGACCTGTGCCTGTTGTTCACAATTTAGAATCCCAGTGAATCCAAATTTTTACTGAGCCTAGAATTCCCTATCCTGACCGTTTCTGTCATGGCAGGAGTTTTTTCTGTAAATTGCATTTAATATCTTTTTTGAAGCGTTTTTTGCTTTTTACCCGTGCTGAGCCGTTGGCTTTGCGGAGGGTGACTGGCGGCTTTCCCAGAATGCCCGGGAGAGAAGGGCTCCGCCCGGCACGTTCCGCTGCTGGTGAATGAAGCCCACCTATGTGTGTGTGTGTCTGCTCTGTGTGTTCCAGGACACCGAAGTTCTGAACACGGCCATTCTGACGGGGCGGCTGGTGACCGTGCCGGTCAAGGTGGTGACCGTGGAGAGGGATGGCACGGTCAGGGAAGTGGAGGACGCCCCTGCCTGCAGGTCCACGGACGAGGATGTCATCAAGGTACGGTCCGACAGCGCCCTGTAGTGCCAGTCCGGCCCGGCTCCCAATTCCCAGTCCCAGCCAGTCCGGCCCAGCTCACCCAGGAGCCCAATTCCCAATTCCCAATTCCCAGTCCCAGCCAGTCCGGCCCAGCTCACCCAGGAGCCCAATTCCCAATTCCCAATTCCCAGTCCCAGCCAGTCCGGCCCAGTTCACCCAGGAGCCCAATTCCCTTTAACAGGATTGTTCCTGACTGTGGCAGTTGGAAATAAAGGGATGTGAATTTCAAAATCGTGTAGAAATGCGCCATTTCTTTTTTATCAGTGTTGCAAGCTCAACCCTCCATCTGAAAGACTGTAAACAAGAGCAGGCCGTTCACCCCTCCTGCCCTGTTTGATTGCCACTAGCCAATCCGTCTCCTTGATGGGAGCCAGGTGATGGGCTTGGGCAGCCTTGCTAGACAGCCGGTCCCAGATTCCCTCGGTGCTGCATGGGGGAAAAAAGCACCTCTGCAAATGGAGCCCCCTTCTCCGTAGTTTCCCCTCGTATCCCCCACCTCTCTCATTGCTGCACCACTGAGAGACAGCCCCCTCTGGAAGCGAAGCGCTGGGCTGCAGGCCCGGAGCTCCCCGGCAGTCCAGGAGGAGCCCGGCTGAGATGAGTGAGATGAACCCCAGCGCTGTTTCCCGCGCAGGCCCTGCGCAAGACAGGGTGTCACAGCCGGCTCCCCTGTCTCACCAGTCACGACAGCCTTGTCCATCCCAGCGGAAGACCTGCCCCTGAGTCAACGCAATGCAAAAAAGATTGTTGTGCAGCAGTAATGAAGTAAAACTACCTGTTGGAGTTTATGAGATGTCTCAAATTGATATTTTGTGTGTGGATATTGTCAATAATCCGAATTATTATTAGTAGTGATATTATTATTGTTGTTGTTTAATAATAATTGAATATCTTTAAACTTTTCAACTTTGTAATGCAGCTGGTAAGAAACTGTAGTGATATTATTGATTTCATGCAGAAGTACCAAAATGCGACCTAAAGAGACTTGAGGTTTCACATTCTGTAAATACAAGCTGTGCCTCCGACGATAAAGGGGGTGATATTTACTTGTGCCTGTGCTTACTGTCCCTCCATGCATGATAATCTCTCTAGAAGTCACTGAAACAGAGCGTTCTCGTGCCGGAGGAACATACTCACAGTCTCAGGGAAATGAAATTGAGGTCACTTATAACAGATTGGTATAGTTCATAACTCAGTTGCAGGCTGAAATTGCAATTCAACATTTCCATAATTTGATTTATGGATGGGGTTGTTGTTTTATCATTATTACTTTCTTTCTAATAAACAGAAGATAATAACGTGTAGAAACCAAATGTAGTTTTGTTTTGGTAACAAAAGCCTTCTATTACCTTAAGCTTTATAAATGAGTTTTCTATTACATGAATCAGTTTCCTTGATATAAATTCAGTCGTTTTCCCTCGTTGGGGAAGAGCATATGAACTCTCCTTATCTCCATCCTTTAGCTTCATGTAAATTACACTTAAAAATTTGTGCCAATACATTTTTTAGAATTATTTTGTAACATAATAATATCACAATTCTGTATCATTTTAAATAGTCCCAATTAAACTTTATAGGAGCCTTTACCTCTCATGAAAACACAGACTTATTACAGCATGTGCTTTAATAAAATGAATAGAAATAGTATTTACTGTACATGAAGTGAGGATATATAGAAAAACGCACACAGCTCAGAATGCCAACTTTCAGAAGTTGGAAAAAAAGGTTTTCAGGGAGCTGGAGACGAGTTCTGGGGATGTAAAGATCTGTGTGCACAGCTCAGTCCAGGGGATTTCAGATCCGATCTGGAAATGTCCCCTCAGCTCCTCACCTGCAGCTGTTTCCCGGGAAGCTGCAGACGTTGAAGGCCAGGGTCAGGTGATCCCGGCCTCACGGTGAGCTCTCCGTGCTCTGGTGTGAATCCCTGTCAGTTCTGCTCGGGATAATAAGTTGTGTTCCTTCCCGGGAGGAGAGGTAGCAGCTCCGATTGCAAACCCTGCCCACAGCTTTGTTAAACTCTCCGGATTTGAGGAAAGTAAGGAAGGTCAGACCGTTTATAAGGCAGCCAGCTTCTCCTGGCTGCGGTCTGTGAGAGCAGAAAAACCTACTGGTGGCAGACAAGAGGGAAGGGGTACACTTCTCCATGCTACATGCAGTGTATGAAATAACAAAGAAATGTTAGACACGCTGAAGCCCTCTTCACCAAACACTGTGCTGTCTCCTTTTGTTGATTAAACCTTGGCTGGAAAGAACACAGCCTGCTATAATAGGTCATCTATTGATAGTACTCAGGAGCCCAGGTTGAAGAAGGTTGCCGGTTTAAATCCCACAGCCGGCAGAGGAATCCTACTCTGTTGGGCCCCTGAGCAAGGCCCTTAACCCCAACTGCTCCAGGGGCGCCGTATAAATGGCTGACCCTGCGCTCTGACCCCCAGCTTCTCTCCCTGTCTGTGTTTCTCATGGAGAGCAAGTTGGGGTCTGCGAAAAGACACATTCCTAATGCAAGAAATTCTATAGGGCTAATAAAGTGATCTTATTATTATTATTAATTGCCATAAAAAAATTGCTTGATCACGGTAACTGAAAGACAAACCAGCTGGTCGTGAAGCCCGACACCACTACAGAAGCTTGTTTGTTGCGAGCTGTTTCTTAGCCCTTTATTCTGTGCAGAGATAAGCAGTTTTCACCACTGTAAAACTATTATGCTGGAGTTAGGCCTGACGAGTTGAGAAAATAAAGTTAATTGAGAGAATCCTGTAGCCTATTATCTAAATCCCTTGTTTAGCCCCATATTAGCAGTGCGCATGAGGGGGTGGCTGCTATGCTGTAATTCGCTCTGAGGAGGAATTCAAGAATTCCTCTGTAGTTTTGTCCCTGGTTAATACAGTACATCCGAGAAAACAAGGAGGATTACAAGTTTATCCCGGAAATTTCGTGTACTGATAAAATAACTGGGATGCCTGTATGTGATTGATACTCTCCTTTTAATTTGTGCCAAACCTGCAGGAGTATTCAGAGGGGTGAGAGTGTTGATTGGGAAACCTCACCCCTAGCCATGTGCTGCACTGTGCTTTACTCTGCCAATACACCTGCAGACTGGGCACTTCAGTCCAATCAGCTGTTAAGGATTCGACACCCGGAGGAGTTATTCTTACAAGTGAAGCAGAAATAAGCCATGAGCTGATCCTTTAGCACTGGAGATAGAGCAGGGGGTTTTGAAGTCCTGACTGAGGGGATGCTGGTGTGTTTTTTACCGTTGGCAATGGTGGAGTTGTGTGTTTTGTTGTGTGTTACCTTCATCAGAGACAGATGACATGAAAGTGGGTTATTTATTAATATTTCATTCTGCAGCACAAACACATGCAATCTGCGCTTAATCTCACCACCGCCATGGCATAGCTGTGCTAATGATGAGAACTGGCTCAGAGTTGAGCACCTAGAGGAACGGAGAAAAATGAACTAATTATTCCCATTCATTCCCCAGCTGTCGCGGTTTCTTCCTTTAAAATGAGAGAGCCGTGTTGAGCCAGGATCACTTCGAACGGTATTTTGTTCTCTCTGCATGTTGGAGAGCCTTGCTGGCTATACGACGTGGATCAAAAGCTTTAACTAAGCTCAACCCCACACACGCACACACACCTCCCACTGGTGTCACAGTGAAAACTGCCAAACATTTTTGTAACTGCCAGTCACACCTATAACAGTCCACATGTTTGTCATTTACAAGAAATGGTCTAAACTGCAGCTTTTCTCATTATGTCATTACATTGCAGGCTGTATACATTTTTTACAGCTTTCTCTCCCCTTTGGCAGCACCTTCTAATAGAATTCAGCCATCTTACTGCAATTGCTACGGCCTAATGCAGCACAATTTATAGCACACCTATACTTGTACAGAATGAACTAATAACTCAGCACACTGATTGAGCTGTCTGGTGCAGATAAGTGGCACTGTCTGGGCTTGTTTAGCAGCATTGCAAAACAGCCTCGATGCACCCAGCTGAAGTGTAGGCCTACATTAGAACAGAAGAGACCCATTCCCCAAGCCTAATATTGTGATAGTTTTCAAAACAGGATGTACAAATGGTGCACTTGTATATGAGAGAGTACATAAAAATATATCTGTGTTTGTGGAGTTTAAAATGCTTTATTGCTTCCAAGAGGACTGCTGTGTTGGAAAAGCAAGTGACAATCTAACTACAGTGTACAAACTTCCTCTTGGTGCCCCTCTCTTCTTCCTAATGAAGGAGAAGTGGCCCGGTTATGAGAGGAATAAATGAGAATTATTCCGCTGTAATTTGCTCTTGGTAATTGCTCTTCACAGACAGCAAGTCTCTGAAGACGTTCCTTCTGCCACAACGCCCACCGTTGCACAGAGAGCACAGAAATGCTCTGTTCACCAGATCCGGAAGCTTTTCTTGCCCTTGTTTCTGTTTGTGGCTCTTAATTTTCACATTTTTCAGATTTTACAAGTTTTATTTGCATGACCGATGAATAATTCATGTTGCCAAAGCAATAACAATTAGTAGAACATCTACAAACATTTATCATCATCATCATCATCATCATCATCATCATCATTATTATTATTATTATTATTATTATTACTCAAGAGGCTTTCTCTTCCACCTCTGGATCTGTATTTCTAGGAGGACCATGTGAGCTGCAGAGTCCCACGCCATAAACCCATGTCTCTGCAGGAGATTACACAAAGCTTTTCTAGTAAAATCCAGAAGGTTATGCCTTTTTATTGCCAATACTTTATGATTAATGAATTTTTAGTGCTGATACTAAATTCACTTGCCCATTTCATCTTTCTTATTTCACGAGGATCATTAGTTGATTATACTTAGACAATATTTAGTGAGATACAGTATAATGCATAGCTGCTGGGCTTCAGCAGAGCACTGTTATTAATTGTTCCCCATGCTGGAGAGTCCTCCCCGATTCTGTTTATCGCC